TATTATATTTCTTAAATGCTCACTTGAGTGGACTACTTTCGTCCATCCGGTGTCGTTCGGATCGCATCATTTCCACAAAGTGATTGAAAGAAGCTCGATCATTATAGAAAACTAAAACGTCTTCACCTGCTTGGACCAACTGTGAAAAGAACAATTAATTTGTATATTTAAAAAAAAAAAAAAAATCTAAGTTTCAAGATTGAAAATATATCCATTAATAGAAGGATCACTTACTTCCTGCATCACCATTTCCTGACACTTCCTAATAAACTGATTCTCAGCTTTTACTATCGTTTGAAGGAATTTCAAATATTGCACATGTTTCCCATGAGTTTCTATGCAATGCACAAAATGCTGTATCACCTTAGCACTTACTTCATTGCACAAAGTCGAGTTGTCTTGAAAAATGCTACATACTGTTTGAGCTTCGCGTATACCGGGATTCAAGAACAAATCCAACTGTTTATGTAAAAGGACTTGATTCTGTTGATTTCCTAAACAGAAGTTCTGCAGGAAATCATGCGCTAGTCGCATTAGCTCGTTCATTCTGACGTCTTCTTTCGTGTCAAACGGAACTTGCAACAAATCTAGTACGACCGTGTGTACGCCAACGTTACGTAAAAGTCTTTGCTCGTGTTTTCGTGGTTTTATTTGACCACCTATCGTTTGAATGCATAATTTGTTCATTCGAATTAAGATCTGTTGTATCTTTTTATATTCCTCCGCTTGGTCAGAGTGTAACGGCGGGCCAATGTCTAGATCTATCGCAGAGCCTACAATTACAGATAATTTTTGCGTTATTGTGTTTCTACATTCCTGCATTCTATATTCTTTTCTTCCCTTTTTCTTTAATAATTCTATACATATAAAACAGTTATGGAAACCTTTTTTATCCGACGTGGACAACTGAGGCGGAGCTTTCCGAGGGGTAGCTCCATCGTCTTCTTCCTCTTTACTCTTCTTCTTCTTATTGCCATGTTCTTCCGACGCTTTAGATTTATAAACCCAAAGTTCCGATTTCTCGACCGACTGTCGTAAAACATCCAAATCGGATTTTATTTGCTTGTAAGATTCTACATCACTATCGGAAACCAAAAGTTGCACCTGTTCACAATAATTTAATAAATCTCTCCCGTTTACCTACTTTTAGTGACTCTTGGCGACAATTTCACAGATAACATACTTGTTTAAACGCCTGTAGGACTTCTTGTCTTTGGCTGAAGTGTCTAAAAAGCAAATGTAACGCTCCAGAAACCAGCGGCGGATAATCGTGCATAGCCAAGTGAAGTAAAACACGCAGAAATGTTTTGCCACCTTGGCCGTCTAAATCCAACGCTGCACACTCCTCGCTAAGTAGAACAATTCACAAAATATTTTAATATCTAATTAACGAATTGTATAAACGTGTGAATAGTGAATTACCTGCTACCGAATATACCCTCTGCTTGTGTGCCTATTAATTCTAAATCGATAGTTTTCTGACCAAGACTCAGATCACCGGAAGCTCTTTCGGTTTCGTCGAACTCTTGCTTGAAAATGCTCAGTAAACAAGAAATCCTATAGTCCAGTCGAACGTCGAGTATGAATTGCAAAATTTCGATTATCTTTAGTTTTGTGTCCATTACTAGGGGATACTCTTTTTTCAAAAGTGGCTTCGGCCTTGGTGATGAACTTCCTGCCAATACTTGGCCAGCTGGACCCAATGTTAAGCTCGTCATTACTGCGCCCATATCTCCGATACATCTCAACACTCCACCTTCCGCTACGAAATGTTACAGTTTTAGACTCGTTCTTTTATTTACCGAGCAGGTATGTCTTATATAAAATTGAAGAAAAATAAGCGAAGCATTAGAAATTAAAATATTGCAAATAACTATATCCATGGAGCCATAATTATCATTGATAAAATATTTACATTTACGAATACGTGATGATGAAAAGGAAAATATCAAAGGAAATTGCTGGGCAAAACAAATAGAATTAAGATTAGTAATAAAATAAAAGTCATTAATTCACAGTTATACACATATACATATATATATATATATATAT